CCCCCCCCCCCTGGCGACGCCCTTGAGGCCTATTGCTATTTTTTTTGCTAAAATTCAAGAAATCGTATTTTTATTTGTTTATATAGGATGTACCTGTAAATGAAGGTCATATTTATACAGATGCTACCTTTGAAACCTTTAGAAACACGTATCAGTAGCTTATTTTTTCAAATTCCGTCATGAAAATTTAAACTTTGTTAATCCTTTTTTAAGTAATTTTCATACCCCACAGCTAGACAAGCTAATGTGATCTCAAACAGCGGTGGTCTTTAATCGCAGCGCGCGCACAATTAGGAACTGGGCTATGCATTGTTGTCAAATCTCATAATTTATGAAATTTTATGGCTAATATTCGAGTATGGGCCTTCAAAGCTGTCGTAATTTCTAAAATGTTGAATCTTACAAATATTTTCTTATTCAGTACTTGCTGGACCATATCAACCCTTCCTTGACTCGTATACATATCATTCAAAATTTTGAAAATTAAAACACCAAAATACGCTGTACAGTTACTAAACATTGAAATAAATTACTTTATAAGAATGTATACTTACATCACACAAAGGAACATCTTCTCGAAACACGATAAAGTCGATAACTAAAATAAAAATGTGACAAACCCGTTACCATCCCGCTATATCATAACAGGTGTGAAGACAATTTGCAGCTGCCGCCTCTCAAAAGCAGTATGTCATTTCAGCAGCACAGCTGTATCTAATCTCTGTTTTCTTCGGAAGTGTTCGGAACATGATAGGTTTCTGCTTAAAAAACTGTGATAGTGGTAGTAGGATGATAGTTCAGCCAAACTAGATCAATGTCAGAAGTCGTTGACACTGAGATTCACAAATTAAATACATAGACTTGAAAAGATAATAATACATAATTGTTTGCAAAAATTCCTTCATTCATAGAATGGAATTTGTTCTTGGATGACACTATTTTCCACCTGTTTGATATTCTCTATGATTTTGGAATTTAAATATTAGCACGTACTCAAATACCAACCATTAGCAAATGTAAACACAAATGACATCGCCATAGTAGGTCTCCCATCTTCATCTTATTAGTCCACGAAAACAACGCGTGCCGTGTTTTTTGCAATGACAACAGAATTTAAGACAGAAGTACATAATCTAATGGAGACTTATATGATTTTTGCACAGATAATGTATAACATTGGAAAGGTGGCAAAAACTAATTTTACAAAACTTTGACTTAGGTGGTTTTTGAAATGAACGATTCAATTATTGCAACATTTTTTGCACCAAATGGAGGACAACAATAATACAGTAATTTTTTACAAAGATTCTTTTCCGTGTAGTAACCGAAATTTGTAATTGTATTTGCAGAACTGGGAAACACCTCTCGCAAATATGCTTCTCGTCTGATATTAGCATAAAAACGAGTTTTTTTCAATTATTTTCTAACTTGTACATATTTGTAGACCTAACGGTTTTCGTATGCTTAATTAATAATTTTATTGGTTATCACCTACACATTTTCTATACAAATCTAATTTGTCATCAGAATTTGATTTATTTGATAATAAAAATTGGAAGAACAGTAGGAAGGTAACCGCCACGCTCTGTATTTTATAATCGTTTTTCGAAATGGTCAGCATTCGGTCAAAACAAAGTTAATCGCATTAATTTGTGATTTTCCTCATTCTGTAAATTAATTATTCGTTTCTCATCGAATTAATCTAATTTAATGCTCTTCAAATAAGGATAATCATAGGGAATTAAGTTTGATAGTCACAATGCAGGACTTAACATGCGTGCACCATTTACATTTAAATAAATGTGAATATTATGAAATTGTATTTATAAATACGTTCGCCTTTATATAGCAACTTTTCAAAATAATCGTTTCAAATGCAGACGTCTTATTACGTACGATGTGGGAGCCAGGAACGTTTGTACAGCTGGTGATTAGACCGTGAATACTTGCTTTACAAGTTTCATTGTATGTCTCTTTTTGTTGCAGTCAGTCGATTGCACTGCGAGAGCGAATCCTTCAAGATGGACTTAATATTGGACATCAACTCGTGGCTGTATCCGATGGAGCTGGGTAAGTGATGGACCGTACATTTGTAACTTTCCTTCGCGAGGCGGATATTCACGCAATACAAATACAGATAGGACAAGAGCAAGTGTGCTTTGGCTCAAAATTTTGTGGCTAATTTCCTTAAAATTATTTCTTTTAGTTTTATACTTAAGAAAAAATTATAAAGATTAAATCAGGCTTTTTTGATACAGCGCCCTGTATATTTTTAGACATTTATTTACCTCGCTTTTTATCGGGATCAGCGATGTAAGATTGATAGGTTTATTTCTAATAACAAGGGAAATATTGCAAAAAAATTGAGCTACAACTATAATTTTTTAGCCTTAGATAATTAGGACACTGGCTGTAGCTGTTTGATTAAAATTAATATGTAGCTTTAGTTTTTGATTGGCTGTAAACTAATGTACAAAGGTTTTTTAGATACAGTGACGTAGTTTCGGGGTGGATTTGGTCATTTTCTATCACAATTTATTTTGATGATATTTAATTTGTTTTATTTAATTTTAGTAATAATGTTAATAAATAATTCAAGTAATCGCGTTATACATCAATGAAATGAAATGAAATATTTAGAAACTTATATCTCGGAAATAAAACTTTTCCGGATACATGTTAGGCCAGTCATTATAGCTTTTTTTCGGGAAAAAAATACTATTAGAAATTTCTCTGCGGAATATTGTTTCGAAACGTGTTATAAACAAAATATCAAAAAATCAACTCGAGACTAGTTGGGAAACTTTGTTAAAACAATGGTCAAAATTATGGAAAAGTGGTTTTTCGACTGGCGTAAAAATACTGTTATTCATAGAGAAAAAAAGGTTTATACAAAAAAGGTAGGTATTAAATAAATCTGTAAAATAAGACAAGTCCGATTAAATTCCGATAATTTGTTTATGCGCAAGAGCTCAAAAATGGTCGAAATTGTCCGCTTTTTTCAATTGCTAATAATTAATGCAATTTTCATCGCAGACACTTGTAATTCAGGATTTTTGAGGCTTTTTGCACCCTTAATAAGTGGTAAAAATTTCAGCCCAAAAGCTTCATTAGCTTGGCGTTGGCGGAATTTGTTATCTAAGAAGATGCTATTTTCAATTCATTTTTCCCAAGCTCACAGGCGTTGTAGGGTTTCGATCATTAGTTGTTTTTGTACCTAAATAGTTGTATTGACATATGCATTTACTGACAATTTAATTTTTCAAATTTAATTTGTTTAAAAATGACTGAAAAAATGTTAATATTTATTAAATTGTTAAGCGCGCATGCTCCGCCTCGCTCTCCCCACTCGTTCGCTAGACCAAGTAATAGAACGCATCGCCGCTATCTTCTTTTTCGCAATTAAATAGTTGAATTCACCTTAATGTTAATGTAGGACATGAAAATATAGCTCTTAATGTATACTCTCTCCAAATTTCGGCTCTTAATATTAATAATTAAGGTCACTGCGATTAAAAAAAAAAAAAAATTATCTCAGCTTCTAATCAACTTACAACAACGATTTTTTTTTTAAATTCGAAGAAAATTAAAGTATAGAGGTTACTATTTTATTTTATAATAATTACCTATCTTAACAATTTTATAAATATTAACATTTTTTCAGTAATTTTTAAACAAATTAAATTTGAAAAACTAAATTCTCAGTAAATGCATATGTTAATACAACTATTTAGGTACAAAAACAACTAATGATCGAAACTCTACAACGCCTGTGAGTTTGGGAAAAATGAATTGAAAATATGTAGCATCTTTTCCGCCAACGCCAAACCAATGAAGCTTTCGCGCTGAAATTTTTATCACTTATTAAGGGTGTAAAAAGCCTAAAAAATCCTGAATTACAAGTGTACGATGAAAATTGCACTAATTATTAGCAATTGAAAAAAACGACCATTTTCGACCATTTTTGAGCTCTTGCGCATAAACAAATTATCCTAATTTAATGGAACTTGTCTCATTTTAAAGGTTTATTTAATACCTACCTTTTTTGTATAAACCTTTTTCGCTATGAATAATAGTTTTTTTACGCGAGTTAATAAACCACTTTTCCATAACTTTGACCATTGTTTAAATAAAGTTTCCTAACTAGTCTCGAGTTGATTTTTTGATATTTTATTTATAACCCATTTCCGAACAATATTCCGTAGAAAAACTTCTAATAGTATTTTTTCCCCGAAACAGGCTGTTCCATGTCTATAATGACTGAACTATGTATTCTTAGAGCAACTACATGGGAGAAGCACCGCGTGTTAAAAAATGTAGATGTTGTAGAGAGAAAGGGCGATAGTCTGGGTACTCTCTGTCTAATGGTTTAGAAAGAGTGGGGTGATTCCTCCCTCCGCCCGAGCAGCAGCGAGCGTTAGCCAATTACGCGCCTGCGCCTGAGAGAAAGATGGTACTCAAACTATCTCTTTCTCTCTGTCACTTGTCTACACTGTTCCCCTAAGCGTGCTTCCTCCATGCTCTGAGAATGCCTCTAAGAATTCTTTTTAATCAATGCCGCAGAATCCGTTATTAGAAGTCTGCTAATCATTTTGGTTACACCCTATACATTTTTTTTTATTTAACGTAAAATATGTGCTTGTCAGAAACAGTCTATATTGTGTGTCTTATTTCCACAACTTTTCACGGAGTGTCCATTCTGACACAACAATGTGGTGCTGCGATACGAACATTTTATTTCGAAATTTCTCTAAAGCTACAATCCAAATTTCAGGTTCGTTGCATCCTTGAATACTAATTTTATAAAACATTAAACAAAGCATGACCTACGTTTTTTATTGACAGAGCTCCGTTGCTAAAGTGCTGTTGGCACATGTAGGCAGTTGCATCATTTGATCAAATATTTGCAGTCTGCTCATTGTGGCAAATTTATGGCGTTGCATTAGCAATGCAAAATACCATTTCGGACCGCAAGACAAAGCTCGCGTACAATATCCACACGCCGCACTAAAACGAAAGAAAATACTCTTATGTACAGTACGTGCGTCATTATTATGATAATTGCAAAATATAATCAAACGTTGACCGAAAGGAAACTTACACATCTACCTCAAAATGGCTATGCGGATAGTAAAGTTGTACGTTGTCGATTAAATATTTATGTTTAGTAATTGTAAAATATTCAGTTTGTGGTATATTTGTCGGAAAATACACTACTCAAAATAATTAGAGGAACACTTATTTAAATCTCAATAACTTTTTTATTTGTAATACTATATAAATCTAATAATGCATATCTTAAAGACTGACATTTTGTTTTATGAAAATAAAACAAATTACATAATCATTCTTGAGACAATAGTACCAATTCAAAAAAACTACAAGAAATAAAGTGAAACACAATCAAAATTTCAATTTAGAAATATGCTGTGCCTTGGAATAGTAAACAATGTTGACAGTTCAGCATAAATTGTAAAAAATGAGGCATCTAAGTGAAGTTGAGGTCGTTCGTGTTGTTGCTATTATAGAGTATGGCACCAGTATTCGACAGGTTGCAAGAGATTTTAACGTAAGCCCTTCTGTCATCCATCGCGTGTGGAATCGTTACTTAGAAACCAGAGGACATAAAAGACGCATTGGACAAGGTCCTACGAGGAAAACAAACCGAGTTCAGGACAGGTTTTTAGTCCTATCCTCCTTGCGTTCTCGTACATCCACAGCAAAAGACCTTCAAAGTAGGCTCAGAACGACTCATGGGTTGGAAATTTCCGATCAGACAGTTAGGAATAGACATAGAAGCAAACTTGAGACCAAGAAGACCCGTGCGAAAACCTATTTTAACTCCGTATCACATAAGGTCTCGTTTACATTTTGCAAGTGAGCATGTGGCATGGCAACTTCGATATTGGAGACCAGTACTCTTCACAGATGAGTCACGATTTCGTTTAAGTCGTTGTGATGGTCGAGTACGTGTATACCGACGTCCACATGAACGCCATTCTTCAGTTACCATACAAGAAGTCGAAAGATTTGGTGGTGGGTCAGTGATGGTTTGGGGCGGAATTAGTCTTAATGAAAGAACCGATCTTGTCATAGTTCCAGGGACTCTAACCGCCGAACGGTACATTGATCTCATTCTAGAAGATAATGTTATACCAGCCGCTTATGGTATAGGTCCAAATTTTCTGTTTATGCAAGATAACGCAAGGCCACATACTGCGATTATCACCATGAACTACCTTCAACATCACGGGATTCAATCCATGGATTGGCCTCCGTTAAGTCCTGATCTAAACTCCATCTTTGGGATTTTAGATAGGCGTGTTCGGAGGCGCCCAGACCCACCTCAGACTCTCCAACAGTTAACAAATGCCCTAATCGAAGAATGGGAGAATATACCACAAGAAGAGATTCGTAGGCTCATCCGAAGCTTACCACGGAGGTGTCAAGCAGTAATTCCTACTAATGGAAGAGATACACGATATTAGTGAACCAAATCTCACCAGGACCTTTATGTTATACAGACAGGATCACAGACTCTTCACTTTATTTCTTGTAGTTTTTTTTATTGGCGCTGTTGTCTCAAGAGTGATTATGTATATTTGTTTTATTTTCGTAAATTTATTCGAACGAAATGTTAGTCTTTAAGATATGCATTATTAGATTTATATAGTATTACAAATAAAAAAGTTATTAAGATTTAAATAAGTGTTCCTCTAATTATTTTGAGCAGTGTAGTATTGGAACAATTTATTTTTGTTATATTCAAAAAAGAAAACAATTTTTATTCAGTTCAAGGAGCTGTTTGCTTTTAAATCTTTAAAACAAATGCAACGGGTAGAAAATTTAGACTAGAGGTTCAAGATTCTCAGAAAAATATTCATGGAATTTAGCCCAGTACTGTAGCTGTATTTACTGTAGCTGAAAATATAGTAATACCTCCGAATTTTTTATAACTGCATCGATTTTTCTCAAAATTTAGAATTAGGCTCATCTTACCCCCCACTTCAAAACTTATATATGCGTTAGGTGTGCTTTTTGTTCTTAAGGGGTGAAAATCACCCCTTATT